CCCACCCCCTATCCAACCCCCATGATTCTATGGTGCACTTGTCTCGTGTTGTCGTGTCATTTCTTTGTAAACCACTCCGCTTTCCTCTCTGCTTGTTTGTTTGTTGAACAAAGCTGATTCTAATTGGAAGCTGTCAGTGTTTACAATCCCAGAGTGGCAACTGAGGTGTACCCATACAAGCACACACAAACAGATACACGTACAAGCAGCACACCTCGCTTTTTTGCTCTCCTGCTTTTGCTTTTTCTTAGGCCTTAACAAAGACTTAATCCGCATGTCAAGGAGGAGATACTCATTCTGATAATATATTAAACCTGATGTTGTGTCAAAGTGTATGTAACTGTTTCTGTGTTACAGTAGGAGCTGAATCTGTGTTTTTGTTACCCGTTTAGAACCTTTGCATTCAAGCGAATCCCCAGTGGAGAGAGCAGTTTGAATTCAATCAGTTTGAAGACATCCAGGAGCCTCTGCAGGTGGAGGTGTTCTCAAAGAGAGGGCGAAAAGCTGAAGAATCGTGGGGGACGTGAGTATTTCCTCCGCAGTTAATTTTTGCTCACATTGCTTTGTCCACAGAGCCAGTTGGGTCTAATCTTTCAAGTGGGGTGATTTTCTTTTGGCGTCCCAGGTGCGAAGTTGACGTGTCCAGGCTTCCTCTAAATGAAAGGCAGCTGTACACACACGTGTTGGACCCAGGAAAAGGCAAACTGGTGTTCCTGGTCACCCAGAGACCCTGCTGGGGAGTTTCCATCACAGACACTGACAAAGCTACATTGGGAATTCCAGACACGGTCATCGAAAAATTTGTATGAGCGTATTTTTTTTATAAAGAAAAAAAAATCAGACATCAAAACATTTGTCCAACTTAAAACGGCTTACATTTTAAATATATGAATTTGAGTACATGTACCTGATTCAGTATTTACTCAAAAGCTTTTGCATTCACTCTTTGCTTTCAGAGTTTAAGAAACTCTCACAAGTGTTTACGAGAAGTTGGCTTCCTTCAGGTCAGCGTGCTGAAAGCAAATGATCTTCCAGCCACAGACATCAATGGTAAAAAGCCATTTGCCGTTGCACTTGCTGTACTCATGGTAATGGCCTCTTCTTTACATTAAACAATAAAACATCTTTTATCATTCACAGGAAAAAGCAATCCCTTCTGTGTTATCCAGCTTGGGAACTGCAAACTTCAAACTCACACAGTAAGCAAGACCATCAATCCTGAATGGAACAAAACCTTTACGTTGTAAGAAGACTTTTTTTTTAAAATAAATCTCATTAGATAAACTTTTTACTGTATATTTTAAATAAATTAATAAATAATTATGTTTTATTTATTTAAAGACCAGTTAAGGACATTCACGAAGTGTTAGAGCTGACTGTCCTTGATGAAAATGGGGACAGATCTCCAAACTTTTTGGGGAAAGTGGCCATCCCCTTATTGACGGTAAGTTTGCTCAATTAATTTAGTTTGTAATTGTTTGTGCCATAATTGCTAGTCTGTATTTTTTAATCTCAAAGGTTCAGAATAGCCAGCAGGTATGTCTGTTTTTGAAGAAAGAAGACTTGGGAAGACCTTCTAAAGGAACCATCACGCTGGTGTTGGATGTTGTCTACAACCAAGTATGGATCAAATTGAGTGTGCTCAAGTTTACTCTGATGACCACATTTTGTTTCATGTAATGTTAAATAAAAGAGTAAAAAAAAACCCTGCAAATTAATATTTAAACCTAATCCCAGGTTAGAGCTGGCATCAGAACCTTCCAACCAAAGGAGACAAAATTAATTGAGGAAAACCTGAAGTTCAACAAAAAGGTGATTTCTATCAAATATTTTTTTAAGATTTGAACAAATTAAAAAAGGGTCAAATTCCAAGTAATCTATTTAATTGCCTTTAACCTCATGAACAGCAATTACACATTGTAAAGCTGATTTATCCTTATTGCACAGTGATAAACATTATGTCCACCATCAAATGATACAAACTGGTGTTTTCCTCTAATTGTTTTCCTCCAGGTTCTCGCCAGGAATATATATCGGGTCCGAAAAATCAGCACAGCAGTTTTGTACACGTTACAGTACATTAAAAGCTGTTTTCAGTGGGAGAGCACGCAACGGAGTCTAATAGCCTTTCTGGTAAGTCATTGGCACATGTTAATGAACTCTCTTTAAGCCTTGAGGCGAACAAGTTTTGTCCCGTTTCACTGCAACTTTGTTTTAACTCTTTCATTTTGTGTGAATGAGCAGTTGGGGTAAATCTTCACTTTAGCCATTTTCTCTCTCTGCTAGTCTTTTTCCCATGAAAAACAATGGCCGCCTTCTTTTTTTTTTATCCCCCTGCGTATGTGATGGACGCGATTCATCCTTTGAATCAAACCCCACTTGGCTTTCTTTCAGTTCTGATGACATTAGAGTATATTCGACAGGGTGGGGTTTTGGCGTTTTTACATCTGACTTCTTAGCAAAGCCTTCTAACCCAGGGGATGGTGTAAGGAGGATCATAGTCTGAGCTTCCTTTGTTGAAGTAGTGACAGTCAGCCTCTGAGATTTGAACCTTGTTTAAATGGCTCTGTTTAGCTGTTTTTAATGAGGGTATGTGATCTTAGGTCCTAAGCTTAAATAATCTTAAAGCATCTAGTGAATCTCCCACAGCACAGCGCATGTAATGTCATGATTAAGAGCGTACAATTGCCATAAAAACCCTGGCAGCGCTGTGTCAGGGTGAGGAAGCGGTCACAGACAGGGTGTGTGAAAAACTCTCCTTTCACTGCCTTTCTTCTGTCTGCTCTGTCTCAGGATGACATGCAATTCATACCTGGTGTATTCTATAAGCCCTTCTCACTGATACTGAGGTGCAAATCCCCTCAGGCGATGGCCAGGCTCAGTGTATCACAGCCTTTAGAAGAGCACAGCAGACAGACAGACAGGCAGGCAGGCAGGCGGACACGCAGACAGGAAGACGGAGAACAATGCCGGCAATTGTATAAGGATAGAGTGGGAGGCAGGCTACTATCTGGGAAAGAAAGTTGGAGCAGAGAAAGAGGAAGACGGCTCAGCGAGAGTGGGGGCACATAGCGAGAGACTTGGGAGGCAGGAGTGCAGGAGGATAGGCAGGTCTGACAGGTGACAGGTCAGCAGGATGGGGCCGTCTTCTTCCACCTATAATTAGATCCTCCGCAGGCGAGGTGTGCGCACAATAAAACACTCTAATCTTTCATTTCCACTTCTACTCCACCTGCTGTTTAGGAGTACAGCACACAAATAGACACGTTAGAATAAAGGGAAAAGACTCACTTATGCTATTTCCGAGACGGCAACCACTCATTTGTTTGTTTGAAACAACAAACCCCCAGCGTACTGGTTGAAATGCTCACGAGCAGAGAGTGAAAAAGAAGTCAGAGTACAGCTTTGTCTGTGAAGAGGAGAACTTCACATTGTCCAAGTGTCGAAGGTGATTGTTGAGAACTGCCCAGAGAAAGCCGGCACTGTTATTCATCAGCCACTCATCAGAAAACTAAAAGTTCATTGAGTGAAAAGTTCTTTTCTCTTTTTTGTTTTTTGTTGCTGATTATTTATCATATCCTCAACAAGTAATAACCGTAGATAAAACATGCAAATTACATGTAAATATTACTACAGAGTGTACGCTGCCGTCTGAGAGTCGGTGAGGTCACAAAACAAGGTCTCGACTGGCTGTTATTACAAGCCGAGTGCCATGCCACTTTCCACACTTCTGCCCCTGCCCACTCCAAGGGCGTCCACCGTACAGTCGCTTCTCCTCCTCCAAGTCATCATTTCCAATTAGGTTAGTGTTTGGAGCTGTCTAAAGCAGCATGCCACCGTGTGCTCTAATGAAAGCGGCTCCCACTCCTATCTTTATATCTTTAGGCAGTGGTAATAAGGTAACTGATTCAGACATTGACAGATGGCCTCTGCTTGCCTCTCAGATGTGCATAATTATACCACTAGTGTCTGCTCTTTTCCACAGCGGCAGGCAGAGCGGGCTTTCTCAGTGTCGGAAACACTGCAGTGGTGGGTCTAGCTTTAATATACATTACAATACATTATTTATCACGCAGCCTGGCCAATCCCTACCCTTTTACACTATATATACATCCTGTAATGCATTACCAGTGCTGTGATTTTTTCCCCCCTTCTTTCCTGCGACTGTGGGATACTCATGTAGTGCTTTACCAGGAATATGCAGCCATTATTTCACTCGGTCCCACAGGCCGATTCTCTGACCTCCTCACAGCTTGAACCTCGCATTTCTATCCCGTTTATTCAGTTTCTTGTATGCATTATGAAATGGTTGTTAGGGTGTAAGTTATTCAAATTTTGTATGAGGGATATTTGCTGTGGTTTATGTTAAGTGGAGGTTTTTATTTTTAAATATCAAGATGATTCTTCCTCTCTCCAGAGGCAAAACCATAAAGCTGTGCTTGTGTTTTTTAAATTTTATTTTATTGTTTTTTTATTCCATGACCATGTGTTTTTTGTTTTGGAATGGAAACATTTACGGTACTGTTTCTGTTTATGAGTGCAAGAAATCACTCTTTTTGACTGTGCAAACTCACATATCAGGCTCTGTAAAGTTTAGTTTTCCACCAGTTTTTTAAAACAGTTTCTTTCATTAGCACGCATAGTAAAAATAAATACATTTAAACAAAATTCTGCCAAATCCTCAYAAACATCATCATTGAATGGAAATACAAACAAGAAATTTAGACTCCCCCCCCCCCCTCCATCGTCCTGTTTATGCTGCAGTAATGAGCTGAAGATCTTTGCTTTTCAAGAGTTTGACAACAGCATGTTTACTTCTCTTCGAGAGAGAAAAATGTGACAGCTAAACTCCTCATAAAATAATCGCCTTTAGATGTGCTTTTCACTAAGACTGAGCGAGATAAATGCGCTATACATCAGCTGTGACTGCCGAGGGGTCACCCAGAGTTCTTTGCTGCACACGAGCTGGCCGCCTGTAGATGGTGCTACAGCACTGCTGAAAACGCGAGCCACCGCGCCGAACTGATCAGGTCAGTTACTTCTTCTAACAGGAGCCATTCGTGGGAACAACTTTGAGTGAAATCTTCCATTATGTGCATTACAAACGACGTGTTTCTTTTATTTCATTTTACAATGTTGCAATGTAGTGCGGTGAAGTGCATATTAACTAGATAAATTAATCTCTATCAGAATGTAGGAACAAATTTGGATTTAAATTGACTGGATGAGAAGCAAAAAAAAAAAGGGATAATTTACACTTAAAAGCAGATTCTGAGATTTTCTGTCATTAGACCACTTTAAGTATTTAGGTAGAATTAAAATTTGAACATATCAGGTACCTCATCTGTCAGGATTTAGACGAGAAGGAAATCTGTGCACGGTTATCTTTTTGACACTGCCAGGTAGCAACTGGTTTAGACATCATTTGACAGCCTGTGAAATGCTGATTGCCTCACATCACACACTGTAAAAGATGGCATTTGATGAATGTTTGATGCGGTGCTGCTGTAAACACACTTGGCAGCTGCAGCGGGCGCTGATAGACTCATCGTCTCCCCAGATGAGGGCACGGCAGGGTCAGATCTGGCTCCAAAGGTCTCAGGAGACCACCTGAGTAGAGCCACAGCGAGTCGGGGGCCATTAACCAGAACACCGGCCCCGGCTGAGATCAAGGCCATAATCAGAGTGGTCATAATTGTTCTTGTTAACACCGTCCCTGAAAATGAGCTGCTTTTGTGAGCCTTGGATCAGTTCTTTTCGTGCTTTTACTGCATTGCAGTATGGCTGAGCTTTTGTGAGGACCGTGCGAGCCTGTGAATTGTCTCCTTGTTTCYGCCTTGCATCTGTTTTCTTTCTGTTTGGAAAAACTCGGAGGCCTTAAAGGAGTGGGTTTCTGCCGTCTCTTGGGGGTTACATTCTCCATTGCCTCGGCTGTGGGAGTTCTCACAGACCGTGCAGTGGGAATGTGTCGTCGTGAGAAAAAAAGGACGGCGATACGGCTCTTATTCTTTTAAACCTGAGCTCTATTAATTATTGAATGCTTGTCAGTGACTATTTGCAAAATGCACAACAACTTTTTCCTGATTTAAAGCAGTGTTGTTATTGAGCTTCAGGTGGATGTGTGTCCATTGAGGCTGGCTGCGTACAACGTGTAACCTTGAAATCCATTAGCATATTTGTGAAACTTGTAGCCTTATAATATGGGTTTCACACCTTTTTTGGAACTTTTTAAAATCGCTAAAATCTTTAAACTTTATAACTTTTTAAATGCATTATTAGTTTAATAAAACAACAACAAAAATGTGATTAAATCCGAGTAAAGGTTTTGATTTGGTCTGTGCATGTGTTGCACGTTGTTTTGTATTCAGCATGTTTTCAGCCTAGTTGACGTGTGCTCTGCGTTTGACCCTGTGGTGTGTGTCGTATCATAATGACTCGCCACCTTCCGGCTCACAGAGGACACCTCTCTCTGTGCAGCTGAGGCAGCGACCTGTCCACTCGCGTGTGGCTGTTTTCAAGGCCAGTCTTGGCCCTGACGCGTTAACGTGTCTGAGCTGAGCTGACAGAGGGAGCGGGGGAGTGGGCGGGGGGAGTCCACGCCAGCGCCACTCCACTCCCCCACCTCCTCGGGGGAGGGGGAAGGCTCGCATGGCAGATCTGTCACCCAGGAGGTCGCTCAGTGTTAACGCTCCCGACACGGATTAAACACTAGTGGCCAGTGCCGGAGAGCGGGGTCAGTGTAGCCACCACTGACAGGCATCACAAGGCCCCTGCTGACTGCCCCGCTCCAGCCTCGCACCGGCTCCTCTCATGTGTCAGATAGGCAGGGAGACGACAGCCAGAGCTGGACCTGTGAGCAAATGCTAATGCTTTGTCTTCTTTAGTGCACCAATTAAAAAAAAAAACAACAAAAAAAAACATATTTGTATTACATTGAACTGTGCTGTAGAAATTTGTAGTATTTGCTCATCATTTTGTTTACAACCTAAAAAAATCCACAAATTTTCAGGAAATCTAATATATTTTTTAATATATTTAATTCAAACAAGAAATGTATTACCTTTGCAGAAAGCAATCAAAGAAGCAGTTGTAGACAAATAAAAGAAAACTAGGTATTAAATGTAGCTCAAGTTTTGTTGCTAAATCAAGTGATTTCAACGCACTGTGGCTCTCTGTATCGAAGGAAGCATTTTTTCTCTCTCTCTCTCTCTCTGTGTGTGTGTGTGTGTGTGTGTGTGTGTGTGTGTGTGTCTTCTCAGTTGATAAGACTTGAGCTGAGCGTATGTGAAATATTTATTCAGCGTTAGCTCAGAGCACTGTGGCTGCCCACACACTCTACCTGCCCCGGAGAGAAATCTTATCTGTGCTTCCTCTGACTCCGACACCCCCTGAAAGCCTGTCCCCACACTGGCCTGAGCTCAACACAAATTACATGTCTCATTGCTCTGCATTTACAGCTACTTTTCAAGCCTGCCACCGCTGTCCCCAGCATCAACCCTCTCCTCCAGACTCCGTTTCAGCTCGAATGATAAAGCACCTTCATGAGCTAAGCCTTTATTTGTGTGTACCTTTTTAAAATTTAGTGTATATGTGTGTGTGTGTGTGT